AATCTAGTGGGTTTCTTTTCTCCAATGTAACTACAAAAAACAAAAAAAAACAAAGTTTTATATAATGGCATTTGCAGTCTGAAATATTAAAATATATGACAGATAATTCTGTGATTAACATTATATTTAGCACATTGTACGGTAGTGGTTTTACAAATAGGGTCTGTCTATTTACAAACAGTTTTATTGTACCCTTAAACCAGCTCTAGCTGCCTTCAAATCACTGCACACGCCTAACAAGGAGTCTGATTCCATGTTCCGGCAACAACAGCATTTTATAAACAGGGGAGTGTTGATAATTTGGAGAAAGGGAAAATGAGAACTTGGACAGAATGAGAGGAAGCACTATCTTGAGCTGCACCATGCCAAAAGTCTGCCCTATACACGATCGGCTCCCATGACCAAATGGCACGTATGCTTGTGGATACTTGCATGCCTCAGACACCCCATTTGCAAACCTCTCTGGCTTGAACTCATTAGCATCCGGACCCCAATTTTCGGGATCGCGGTGCACTGTCGGAATGAGCGTCCATATATGGACGCCTTCCGGCACGGTAAAGTCCCCCAACTTCATTTTTGCTAGAGCTTCCCTTGCCAATATGACTCCGGGCCCATACAGCCGCAGGCTCTCTTGAATCACCATTGTCAGCTGCACATACATGCATATATATAAACATTGTGCGCAACCACTTTGAAAATTTACCAAACACTTAATAACAATGTCTTTCTAGTACCGTTTTCAACTTGCTCAGGTTGTCCATGTCTTTCAAGCATTGACGCAGTTGATCATCATCGTCCCCGCAGACCTCAGCAATCTCGACACGAACACGTTCTTGCCATTCTGGGTGCAATGCCAAGAGCATCAGTGTCCAGGATGCTGTGAGAGCTGTGGTCTCAGATCCTGCAAAGTAGATGCTTCTACAATTATCCAGAATAAATTGGTCTGTTTTGAGCATATATTGTTGAGGCCTGTCAGTGCTGTTATTAGCAGCACTTTGGAGTATCATTTGTAATAGGTCCTTTTCTGACGTGCCTCCCGATTGGCTTTCCTTTTGGCGATCTCTCACTAATTTGAGTAACAAAGCATCCACCTCTTTTCTCAAACTCTTAATCTTCTTCTCACTCTCTGTAGGAAATAAGCTGCATATATATATATAGCCGCATGTCAAACTTGACATTTATTTTGATTGGACATGGCGTCCAAAGAGCAAAAACAAAAGCACCCCAAGAGAAAAACAAAACATGAAAACGAACCTAAAATTGAGAAAGCCAAAGAGCAAACTTGGATTGGACAAGGCCTCCTGGAGGATAGCAATCTTTGCAAAAATCTGGTTGCCCTGGGAGTAAGAGCTACCAAAACAAGCTCTTGAGATGATATCAGCAGAGAGGGTCTTCAATTCCTCATCAACTTTTATGTCCACAACACCT